AGAGAGAGAGAGAGAGAGAGAGAGAGAGAGAGAGAGAGAGAGAGAGAGAGAGAATACAGCCTGCAACAGACATCGGACAGTGAGAGGGTTTTTTTTTGTTTTTGTTTGTTTCGCTGATAAAACCCAAGGCATCACGCAGACAGGTGCTGGTAGCTCTGAACTGAAATAGAGTCACAGCAGAAGAATATATTTTTAAAAGAGAATCAACTTGGTTTTCTGCAAAATTATTAAAGCTTCCAATTCTGATCACATTTTTCTTACAGCACCCCTGTGCAAAGTCAATTCATAACATTCATATTCACACTCATAGGTTTGATATTTATATAGTGGTTGATAATAGCCCTTTGAGGAATTAGTTCATAGAATAAAAATTCTTAGGAAAGTTAAGACTATTTAATCCAGAAAGAACTCTGGTTAGCTCATTTGATCCATGTAAACTTTTTTGAACCTGCCTCTAAAAGGAATCAAAATCGGTAATCATTGGGAACGGAATCGAAACGAGGAACCAAAACTGGAATCATTCAAGTTCAAATGATGCCCAACCCTACATAACAGTACATACACGACAAGTTGTATGGATTCTCCATAAATTTCAAAGAGCTTCCTTCGTTTTGTACAAACACAGACATACAGGACAATCATACAGATACTTTTCAGAGACTTTGCTTAAAATTGCTGTAAACCTCAGGGCTGGCAGGCTGTAGGAAAATAATTTTGCCACTTCCTTGTCCTCCCCTCTGTGCTCTTCTGTTGCTGCAGACACTGCTATCCCATCACCAGGCTGACTGTCTCCCTCCCCCACTGGCTGTATTGTGATTTTTGATGATTACAAATTTCTGAGGTTCAAGATACCGATAAATGTTCAAAAAGGTTGACATATACGATAGTTCAATGGTATTAATTTTACATTTAGTCATTCACGTAGTACTTTTCAGTGTTTATAAGAGGACATGTTATAATGCTACTGCTATGCATGAAATACCACATAGAGCTCAGTTATTGTTTGCCATTTGTGCTCAGCCATAGCAATGAGATGAGGAGCTTCGAAAGTAAACAGAAACGAAGTTTATTACAACTGTCCTCTTGAGGTCAACCGTAATGCTCATGTGGCCCTCTGTGAAAATGAGTTTGACGCCCCTGATCTAAGCCAGTATATTGTGCACTGTGCAGAGCTTAGAATAAGGGTTGTGGATTAGTCTCAGCTACTACTACACCAGGTTTTAGCTAAATGTTTGTAAAAAAGACTGAGTCATCACCATCTTTGTGTTTAGTGTCATATTGCTGTGGCAGCYGTCTTGA